TGGGCTTTGAAAGGGCTGGGGTGGGAGGATGGGGGTTCTGCAGGGCACCAGGGCTCTCCCCGGGGCTGCTGGGGAATGGACTGTGAAGAAACCTGCAGGGCCAGGAACTCCGCTTCTTGGCAGTTCTGGGTCACTGAAGAAGCAGGCGGCTCAGAGCTAAAGCATCCACAAATCGCCCGGTGCAGCTAAAAGAAACTGACAGCGGGGGTTTGCAAGGACATCCATTTCTGGAAGGATCCGAGAACACTGCAGGCTTCAGCAGGGCAGATTCAAGGCAGAGAAGAGCAAGCCCTGGGGGGTTTTCACTTTGCAGTGGTTTCCTCCCCACTGGGAGGTCTGTCCAGAGGACAGGGCGGGTGAAATGGAAGGCAAGCCCTCGCCAGCAGCCTGGAGGGCAGTTTCTCTGTTATTCTTCACTCCTCTCACACAAAAGGGGTTTAGCGTCCTAGCCATTTGCCGGTGCTGAAAGGAAAGCTGGAGACGGAGGAAAATGAAGAAGGAGGAAGCTCAGGGTGGGGCGACTGGCGCAGGAAGCAAGGACAGAAACCCTCGCTGTCCAGTCAGGACAGCGCGAGGCCGGGCACCGGGGGCACTGTTTGCTCTTTTGTGCTCACTGAAAAGCAGCAAACAGAATTGCACTTGTGTGCACACAAGATGACTGCAAACACCATTTCCCCACCTCATGACTTAAAGCGGAGCAAAGGCACTACTAACGCTCCCAATTCAGGGACTGTGGCTTTGTTGTTTATTTTTAAAATGAAAACCGAAACACTCAACATTAAGTAAAGAGTGCACTTTGGGGTTGAGGGCAGCAAGCTGGGGTGCCCTGCGCCCCTGCAGGAAGCCCCTGGCTCACTCCCACAGGAACAGCTCCCCGAAGGCCACTGGCCTGTGTTCACTTTCTCCGGCAAAATCATTCCTCACGTGTGCCGGCCCATTTCAAGGATAACCGTGAGAACACAGACTGTAAAGGAAGTTCATAGGTGACCCGTAGCTATAACAGCTGACACTGGGAGTGTGGACCGCATGCCAGGCAGGGGTCCGAGCATGTTTGAGCCCAGGCAAGCCGGTTCTAACCTGTACTCGCAACCTCTGGCCCGCACTCGGCCTCAAGCCCCCATGCTCCTGATAAGTCCTATTTATGCTTACCTGGGTGCTAGGGTGCCCCCCGCCCACTCCCCCAGAGCTAGGCTGAGAGCCCCTCGCACCTGCTCCCCTGGAGCCCTGCAGTGAAGCCCCCAGTATAGACTGTGGTGCAGGACTGCAGCCATCCTGACCTGCCTTTCCCGTGGGTTGCAATGTCCACAGGGACAGGTTTAGAGTTATCTCTAACATACTATAACATGCAATTTACATCTGAATGCACACATTAGCAAATTGATTTTAAAAAAAAAAAAGTCCAGGTCTTTGTCCTATTGAGAAGGAGCTCTGAATCAAGGGGTGGGAGGAAAGGGACAGACCCGGGATGGTTCACTCTATGTGTCAACTTGCCTGGGCCATGGGGTGCCCAGGTGCCTGGTTAAGCACGGTCTCTGCGCATGTCCATGAGGGCGTTTGGGGATGAGATTGGCATTTGAATTGGTGGACTCAGTAAAGCCGGTTTCCCGCCCACGGTGGTGGGTGGGCACTGTCCAATCCACCGAGGGCCTGAACAGAACAAAAGGGCCAAGGAAGGATGAATCCCCTACCTTGGCCTGACTGCGTGAGCTGAGACATCCATTCTCTCCTGCCCTTGGACTGCGGCTTCGCCACAGTGTTCTGGTCCTCAGGCCTTCAAACTCAGTCTGGAATCACACCACTGCCTTTCCCGGGTCTCCAGCTGCAGACAGCAGAGCGTGGGACTTCTCAGCCTCCATAATCGTATGAGCCAATTCCTCAAATAAATCCCTCTCTCTCTCTCTCTCTCTATATATATATATATATATATATATATATATGTCCTGCTCTGGAGTACCATAATACAAGAGACTGACACAATGACCATGACACTTTGCAGACAGGCTACAAGGGCTGCAGTCACGTTTACATATCGGGTTCCATCCTGCGTGGGGAAGGACTGGTGGCGCCTGCCCCAGGGTGCAAGGAAAGGATGGGACAGGGCTTAATTAGGGAGGAGCAATGTTCTAACCAGGCAAGAAGGGAGAAGGCACAGCACGAATGAGGAAATCACAGGGCACTTCAGAGAATGGTGCAGAGTGGTTCGATCCAAACATGCATCGCCCACTGAGCCCCTGCGGCAGGCCAGGCGCTGTCTAGGTGCAGTGAGCAAAACAAACCGGCTAAAGCAGGGGTCCTCAAACTTTTTAAACAGGGAGCCAGTTCACTGTCCCTCAGACCGTTGGAGAGTGCGCACTGTGGGCCCGGGACAAGTCGGCTGCTAAGCAGGACAGGCAGCTGCGGCAAAAACACCCAGCAGGCCGGATAAACGTCCTAGGCGGGCGGCATGTGGCCCTCGGGCCATAGTTTGAGGACACCTGGGCTAAAGTCTCTTCTCTCAAGAACTCTGCAGCCCAGCGAGGGAGGGAGACACGCAAACAGACCACGATGGGATTAGTAACCGCAGCTGCCCGGCCGGGAATGGGTTCCAGGTGTGTCAAGGTGCTGATCTGCTAGGTGGGGCCGGGCCAGGGCCTGCGGCCAAGGGAAATCTTCAGCCAGCACCCAGGTGACCCGCAGGTTCTTCTGTTTTTTCCACATGCCATGAGTGGACGAGTCAGGGAGACCTCACAGGACAGAGCTGCCGGAGGCTGCCCTGGGAGCAGAGGACCGAGGCAGGCTTTCTGCAGGAGGCGGTTCCCAAGTTGGGCCCTGACAGTGGAATCACAGCTTGCCAGAAACACAGGTGGAGGAGACTTTGGCCAGAGGGAAGAGCTGGGAATGGCGACCATCAGAAGAGCTAGCGTTCCCTGGGCAGTTACAAAGGGCCAGGCCTGGACCTGAGAACCTCCCGTGCTATCTCACTAAATCCTCTCTCCCTTCCGGGGAGGAAGGGTCACTTCGCAGGCCAGCAAATCAGGGCACAGAGCATTCACGTAACCTTCTCAAAGTCACACAGCTAGCAGTGACGAAAACGTGTCGGACAGTTCTGAGCTACGGCACTACGCGGTCTCCTTTTAGAAAACCCGTCAAGGAGGCAGGAAAGCCGAGAGCTAGGGTGGGCAGCACAGCAGTTTGGTGTTCCCAGAGTGCTGGGCCGGCAGTGGCAGTGGCAGGAAGTGCCCAGAGGAGCACACGGCACTCAGCTCAGGACAGGAGGGCCACGCAGGCCACTCGCCTGCAGCGGTGAGCGAGGGCCAGGCTGCCGACGCCTGTGGCTCCGCATTAGGAGTGGGCGGCACTGGTAATAGGGAGCCACTGAAGACTTGTGAGCAGGGGGCGGTAGGCTCCTCCCTGAGTTCCAGGAGGTTAACTCCAGGGTGAGAGCTTGGATGGAAACACGCGTTTGAAGGATAACCGCTGCAATCCAGTGTGACCAGAGGGAGGCTGTGGGGGGCGCGTGTGACCTGCTGACGCGACTCTCTGAGTATTTCCTTTCTGAGATGGCACCATCCTAGGGCGGGGTCCCCCAACACACCCCCCTAACATGTCCTCTGGCTGCCCCATCTGCTGTCCTCCCCTCCCTGAACCCTCCCAGGACTTCCCCAGCAGCTGCGAGTGCCGCACCCTCGCCTGCTGCGCCCCAGCGGGTGACCGTCTACGGCCACCTGAGCCAGCGACTCCAGCCATCCCTGCTCTTACTGCAAGGAGCTTCGCGGGGCATTTCTGCCCCACAAACACCAGACTGGTCCCCTTGAGAGGGAGTGAGGAGAAGCCTGTGTTCCCCATCTCACCGCACCAGCAAGGATGAGCGTCCCTTCCACCCCACACAGGCACCTCCTTATTCTGCACTCACATCTGCCCCTGCCCCTGCCATCCCGCCTTGCAGTGCTAATTCCCCGTTTCTCAAATTAGCCTCGTCCGCTCACGCGGATTATTCGATGATGGAGGGCAGGGGCCACCAATTCTTTTCATTCACTCTGAACCATTCTTATCACCAGAGATGGGCTCATGGTCGACATCTCATGACAACACATTGCATATATAAAAGAAGGAGGGAAATTTCTTCTCGTCAAACAAGATTTCTATAGGGGAAAACCCTGATTTTAAAAACTAATGGTATCCATGCGTATGTGCAGCCCCCAAATCCCAGCTGGATCCTACTAGATTAACTGTGGTCCAGAAATGTCTGCTCAGGTCTGATAAATGAAGGGACAGGCTGCACACAAGGATTTCCATCTTCAGGAGAGGAAAGGTTCGTCCGCTGGTGCCTGGGCTGGGGAGTCGGGGAGGCGGCAGGACGTTTGTCTCTGATGTCCAGCTGCAGCTCAGACCCAGGCCCTGACTTCTGAGCCTTTTGTTTTTGAGACAGAGGCTACAGGCAGCAACTGTCTCCATGACAACACACATCGGTCCCCAGGTGGACCAAGAAGCAGCAGCTTAGGGGAAGACACATGACCCCAATTCTTCCTGGAACCAATAGGGCTTGGAGCAGGGAGACCCAGAAACACTGGAGGGGACATTGCCTACAGAAAGCAGATCACGTCTCATGAGGGGCCAGAGGCTCCATCATCAAGCGGATTGGTGAACAACAGGCATCTGTGTTGGCCCCAGGACAGAGCCGGAGCACCTGTTCGTGAGCCCACATGAATCTCAGAAATAACTGCTACCACACCGGGGTGGCTCTGAGTCAGTGAAGCTGAGACCCTTGGGCCACAGCTGGGTGCTGAGCTGGGGGTGGGGGTGCCAAAAAGTGGGTCACAGGATCCAAATTGGCCATGTTGACAAGAACCAGAACCACAGGGTGCATTCTTCTGCTTGCATTCAATCAGAATGTTCTAGTCACCTGCTTAGAGGGGTGTTAGCTCATGTAACTCTGGGAACAAAATCCCTACAGAAATGAACCCGACTGAACTAAGGAATTTTACTTTTTTCACTCTCAGTAGAATGACAAAAGCAACACATGACAGTTCCTTCATTGTTTAATTCGTTAACACGTTCATTTAAACCCAGCGACAGGGTTCTCAGTGTTGTGCACAAGTGTACACAGGACACCTTTAGTCCCATACACAAGGACGTAGCACCTTTGATTAGAGGTATGTTTAATACATGTGGTATTTTTCTGAGCTACACAGAAAATGATGGCCTTGCATAAGAAAAAACCCGGTAGAGTAACCATGCAGAAACATCCACCAGACAGGCTACGCTGAAAACACTTAACAAGTCCCTCTCCAATGCAGTGAATTCTGAGTGTTGTGCGTGTTTTCTGTCTTTGGTAGCAATGAGAGGATTTCTTTTGCTGCAGATAATGATATGCACAAAGTCCTATTTCTGAAGCTCAGAGAAACATGGTCAGAGGAAATACGAATATATGGACAAATTTGTTAAAGGGAGATCAGAAAATAGATTATGCTACATTTTGTCTTCTGTGAAGTTTTAAATTTAATTTTATAATTTTATTCAAATTCCCTACTTGAATTGAGGGTATGAGGTTGGGACTATTGTTTGTTTTTGCACAATCTGATGTGCTGCCATGTATAATTTTCCTAGTCAGAACAGAGATGATATTACCCTCTTCTTGGTGGTTTCAGAAAAGGCAGATATTTTAGTTGCCATGGTGAAATGAAAGTGATGTTCTCTCAAAAGCAGAGAAATTTTGAATATTCCATTCATTGACAATTTTTGTCATGTAAATTTTGCTCCATCTACTTTCAGCATCTGAAACCTTGAATTGATTGACCCAATTGAATAAGATTCCCTTTTAGGCCATTATTAAGGTTTAAGTAGAAAGACACCTTTTATTTGTGTTCATTCCCTGCAAAACACTATGTTGTGAGTAGCCGTTTTAACTACTGCCCAGACAAAATGAAAATAAACTTTTTTTGGTTAGTGCTTTTGTAGTTTTTCTAATTAGACGATCTTTTAATAGCTTCCTCCTAAGAGTTCCTTCTTCAGCCACTGAGTTTATAGTCCAATCAAAACCGAAGAACTAATTCTGAGCATTTAAATTGCCTTATGTGCTTCCAGCTCAGACTCCACGACTTCCAGAGAAAGCTGGGGCTAGGAGTGTTCAGTAACATGGTCTAATTCTGTCCCATTGCCATCACCATCCATATTTAAATAAGCATATTGGCTTCTTCCTAAACTAAATATTAAATGTAACATTTTACTTTAATAGTTGTAGGTTATGTATATTATATGTTATGCTCAAGTTAATAATTCCTATTTGCTATACATTTATGAAAAAGTCCTATAAATGGTTTGATGATCAATAGATCCTTCTTGGATTCCAGCCTTGGAAAATTTCCCCAATGCAGTAGCAAGATTCATACACGAAGATACTCATTCCAACGGTCAACTGGAAATAGCTTTCAATGACCAACGTTATGGAAATCACTAGCGGCTGGATATTACAGTAAGTATTGATATAATGCTTAAGAAGACCACGAATATACAGAAAACTGTGATAAAATGTTAAGTTAAAAAGCTTATATAAAATTGCATATGTAGTATGATGATGACATGTATGTATACATTTTACATGTATGTAAAATTTTATAAGAAACAAAAACATGCATAGAAGAAAATAGACTTGGAAGGACACCCAGAAATGTTAGCAGTGATTCCCTTTAGGTAGCGTGGACAATTTATGTTCTTTCTACACCTGCGTGTAGTCTACATCGTCTATAATATCCATGTATTATTTTTAGTGGAAAAAACACTAAGAGGAGAAAGAGGAGCACCCAGTGAAAACAAAATCAGTAATGCCTCCCAGGGCTGCATTTGGGGTGACTTTTCACATTGCAGGGAATGGGGTGCTTCCTTCCATAGGAGTTCTGGACAGCGCAAGAGAGCAAGACACTGCTTTATCACCTCCTTCGACAGGTGAGAAGCAGTGTGAGAAATAAAAATAATTTTTCTGAAAAGAGCAGGGTCCTCTTGCTATAGCACATTTTAGAATCGGGCCTAATCGGGGAGACTTTTAACAATTTGCCAACTAATTAGTCACACGATACAACAAAGGGAAAAGTAGAGAATCAGTTGGAAATAAACAAAGTGGCATTGCAGAAGTGAAAGCATGACCAGCCTCTTGTTCGCAGGAGCGATGTTCTCCTGTGATATTCAGGGGTCAGAAGCGAGACTGAGGGAAAAGGAGGCTGCAAGAACACGACAGCCGCCTGCCAGCCCGGGCACGGCGCCACAGAGAGAACCGGCGCCTTCAGCAGAGGCGCGTTGCAGGAGATGTTCTCCTTGTGCGTCCAGCGTCACGCGTGACGTCAACCGCACGCCTTGCTCTCAGATTTCAGCACACCGGGGTGACTGAAAACATCCGCTCTGTACCCAGAGGCCTGAAAGGCAGACGCTAGTTTAGCATCAACAGCAAAGCCGTCCGTCCTCATTCCGTGCTATCACCTGCAAAAGCAAGGAAAGAGCGCCGTGATGGGGATGGAGCGCCCACTTCCATTCTCAGGCAGGACGTGGCTGTCTCAAGGTGTACTGGGAATGTCCTGGGAATGGGGCCACGTGGACTGCCAAAAGTTGGGAGATTTTCTTTTGGTATTGGAGCAGCTCTGAGAATGTCTTTTCCCGTAAGGATGTGTGTTCTGACCGGTTTGCCAGTGTGAACTGAGTAACTACGGCTGAAGGATCGAGGCCCAACTCACTCGACCTGGGTTAAGACCCAGAAAGCTCTGGCTTCATTTGTTTGCTCATGGTTTCTGCATAAATAAAAAAGTGAATTGATGATAAAGTTAAAAACTGGAATAATTTATCAAAATGTGGTTTTATGACGACTCCCCAAGGAACAACTTAGACCCTTCCACTGAACTAGAGTGGTGGTGCTGCAAATACAAGAACCAGTGGATTACTCTGTAGAGAAGGAACAAGTTCCAGGAACCTGACTTCCCTGTGGTCCTCGGATGGGGTGCCCACTTCCTAAGTATAAAGGTAGGAGAAAACAGATGGCTTACTCTCGCCCTGGATTTACTTCTTTCAACCTTAGTGTGGGAGAAGGAAAAAAAATATACAACTGTCTGTTTATTTCATCCCGAGTTACCGCACCAAAGATTGATTCAGGGTGGAGACGGGAGAATTGGTGAAGACTTGCCCCAAGTGTCAGCTCCCTGCCCTGTCTCCACGGGTGCGGGTCACGCCCACCAGCGGATGACACTCCCTTCCCTTGCCAGAGCCCCAGGGACAGGCTCCCTCACCGCTCCAGGGGCAGCCTCACAGGGAGCCCTGCAGGAGTATGTTTAGCTGCATGTAGCTGGTTGCCTGTAAGATTACATTTCCAGCGAAGGTCTTAGTGATATGACAAACAGACAACGGCAAAATAAAAATCTTATATCTAGAAGTAAAAAGTATGCAAAAATTGGACATGGCAGATTCATCGTTTCTAAGGATGTCAGTGGTTCAGAACTCAAGGGCACCTGTTTTCTCACGCGCTCCTTTCTTCCATGGATGCGTGTATCCACACCTGCACACACAGCAAGCAGGTGGTGTCCTGTCCCCCTTCATTTCTGTTCACCAGTTATTTAACTCTCAATCTATTAATACAGATTTAAGGTTAAGCAAAGGGCCAGTTGGTAGGAAGCCAGTCTGTTTGCCCAATTTACTCACAGTCTATACATCTGAGAAAGAACGAGATATGAGAAGATAGGAGATTGGAGAGGGATGTGCGTGTCTGAATCTGGCTCTTTTCTAATTATTACTACTCTTTAGTCACCTTTATTTATTCATTTATTTAATTTATTTCAGGATATTACGAGGGTATGCCTTTAGATTTTTATCATTTTTAATTATTTTATCTATTCCTGATTGCTTTTTCTATATTTTATCTCATAAATTATACATAATGGTAAGTATTTCGAAAACCAAATTATAATTTATTGCAAGGTTTAATGTTGTTTTCATTAAGCACCATTATGAAGGAGTTGAAATAAGTTCTTCCTAAATATGCAAGGCTTATGTTCTCGAGCAGATCAGGAGGTTGTGCCTGCCTTTCAGATTACATCAAATATGCATCAGTCCTGCTCTGACAAAGCCCGCCATGATACAGAGCTTTTAAACATGATCTATAACTGTCAGAACCCAAGGGAAAGAACTGGGTGACCACAAAGATTGAAAGGAACCTGATGCGACATGATTCCCCCTTCAGCACATGAAGAGAATTCTGCAGTGTGAATACTTAGCGCACAGGTGGAGGTCACTAAATGTGGCCGGTGCTCAGGGGCCAGCACAGTTCTAGGCACTTAGCAGGCACACAATAAATAGTCCTGGAAGGAAGGAAAGAAGGGAAGAGGGAATGCTTACCTGTATTTCCATTCCTTGTGATTTCCTTTCTCAAAAAAAATAAAAAATGTTTTCTTCCTAACTCCACATGTCTCTAAGCACATTTTTAACATTTGGTTTCAGGATTTGGATAGGTAACGGGAAAACATAATGAAAATGGAAAGACCACAGAGCAAAGCCTTGGGTTAAAGTTTGCCAGTTAACTCAAATACATTTTTATTGTGCAAAGGAGCTACTGCTAAAAACCTTGAAGGCCTCACTAAAGTATTTTTTGCTAATAAAAAAGGCAATCAACATACATTTGTTTATCCCACAGCAATAAGCATAATAATATATCATAAGAATAGGTACATTTTTAGGCACTGATCTGACATAGAGTTAAGGAAGAAAAAGTAATAGCAGGTCAACGCAGCATGACTTTGTTTCAATTTATGCCAAAATAGTTGTATAGATTGCAAGTGCTTTAAAAGGTCCTCCAGGGCACCTGTACTCTACCTCTGGCAGTGCTCACCCCTGGTGTGGGAGCAAAACTGAAGGGTAAGGCAATGTGAGGAGAGGCTTCTGCTTGTTTCTTTCTGTATCTCTCTCTTACTTGATTTTCTTTTTGCATATACATTATTTTAAAATTTGATAATATGTGAAAATAAAATAACTGAGGAAAACATTATGATTTTAAATTAGTCTTAAGCTATGTAAATTTTTACAACAAAGAAAAAAGCCATTAGAGTGACTCACCTTGTTATAATGAGATTTTTCTCCATTAGGGTTCATGCAGTTTTATTTGATTTTATTAGCAATCTCTTTCAGAAGACCCTTGAGATCATTAATCTTGGAAAGAGAAAGAAATAGAACTGGTCTTAAGATAAATTTTCCAAGGTTCAGTTTTGAATTATTCCTCTAAGGCTTTTCCATGAAACAGACATGTGTATTAAACAGCAAGGATGGCACACCTGGGACAAGGCAGAATGCGAGTGGCAGTGATATTTCAGACCCTGTTCATCGCTTACCTTCTGAAATCACAGCATCAGCAATTAGTAACCAATTAGTAAACCAATTAATATTGGCTTTACTCAAATGCGACTCACTAGGGGCTTCCACATAGAAAGAGTAGATTGCAATGAGACAGAGAAGTAATATGTAAAAATAATAGTGTTATATATAACTAATACTAATGAAATTATAAGATAGTAATCAAATTTTTGCTTTGGTAAGAGTTTTTACTTATAAAAATAATATGGTATAATACTAATAAATCAAATTTTTGCAAATAAAATGTCTCCCTTCTCACACACAAACAGTATAATACTAAAACATAATTTTAGGAAAAGGCATAATAACATTATTCTTGATACATGTTTCACAAATTTATTACACAAAATGCATGAGGCTCATTTTAAATTACATGCCATATTAGTACACTTGATAAAAGCTCATGGATATAATGCAATGTCTGTACAGCTGTTTTCTAACTTGCTATATCACTCACTCAAGAAAAATATGTGTTTAAATTAGGCTTATTTCCAGTAATAACTTCTTCCTTTAACTTAAAAAAAATAAAGGCTGATGGCTGCCTAAAATACATAAATCAATTGTGAATAACTTTGTTTTCTGGTATAATGAGATGGAGAAATTTTTTTATTCCCTACAGGGGCTTTTTGGAGAGCTCTGTATTTGTTAATAGTAAAGTGACTTTGAATAGCTGTTTCGAGTAGAGCATAAGACTCCAAGAGCAAAATAAATAAAATACAGAATAGCAAAACAATAGAAAAAAAAATCAGCAAAAGTAAGAGGTGGTTTTTTTAAAAGACAAAATCAACAAACGCTTAACTAGACTAATAAAAAAAGAGAGAAGATACAAATAATAAATCCAAAAATGAGAGAGAAGACAAAGAGATGGGTGCACTCTCATGTCCACTGCAGCATTATGCACAACAGCCAAAATATGGAAACCACCTAAGTGTCCCTCAACAAATCAATGGACAAAGAAAACCTGGTGCATACATATAATGGAATACTATTCAGCCTTAAAATAAGGAAGGAAGGAAATCCTGCCATTTGTGAGAGCATGGATGGAGCTAGAGGACATCATTCTAAGTGAAATAAGCCAGACACAAAAACACTACATGGTATCACTTGTGTGTCGACTCTAAAATAGGCAAGCTCATAGACGCAGAGAGTAGAACGCTGGTTGCCAGGGGCTAGGGGGAGGGGAAATGGGCAGATGTTGGTCAAAGGGCACAAAGTTTCGTCTATGCAGAATGAGTAAGTTCTAGAGATCTACCGCTCAGCCTGGTAACCAGAGTTCACAACACTGTATGGTACACATGAAATTTGCTAACAGGATAGACTATAAATTAAATCTCACCCCTCCAACACACACACACACAAAACATACACAAATGGTAACGATGGAGAGGGAATAGATGGGTTAATTAGCTGGGCTGAATTGTGGTGATCATTCTTCAATGTATACATGCATCAAAACATCAATTTGTACACCTTAAGTGTATACAATTTTATATCTCAGTGATATGTCAATAAAGCATTTAAAAAATAATTTAAAAGCAAAAAAAAAAAAATCTCCAAAAGCTTGCTCAAGAAACAAAAGATGATGCCTACAGTTCCTGGTGAGTGGGAAGGAGGGCATGTCCTGTAGCTCAGAGGGGGAGGCACGAGGACACAGGTGGGGAGACGACAGAGGCAGTGAGACCACCGAGTGACAAGTGACGGCGGGGCCTGCACCGTGCAGCGGGGGTCCCGGTCCACGGACAGCTCCGTCCCTGGGAGTTAGGTCAGCTTGTCCCCATCCCTGATTTTCTTGACTCTCCTCTGACACAGGGCCCTGGAGGGCCAGGCGTCCTCCCTGCCCCTCTCTTCCCATATCCCCTGTTGCCTCCTTGTCCATGCTCAGCCCGTCCCAGAGTAGGGTCAGGACCGGGGTGTGGCCTGGGGAAGCGTTAGCCTGGCCCCTGAGACAGCGTTCCACCTGCTCCCTCCAAAGCCACCCAAATAAAAGCATGGGGAAACAACAAACAACAACACGAACTGGACTGTGTTCTTTACAAACACAACAAGTGCCTTCCCCACCCGCCCCCACCCCCATTGCCTAAGCCCCTCCCACATGGCCATTCTGAGCACTCAGCACCTTGAAAGCAGCGTGTGAGACACCTCCCTCTGGGGTTTTAGAACTCCCTGGAGCCTTCCCTTGCGGGGGAATAAAATCCAGCCCTATAAAGAGGTAAGCACGTTTCTACACAGAATGACCCAGTCCCCTACTTCCTTCCCCTCAGTGCTCCCCTGGTTCACACTGCCTGTCTTCGTAGCTGCTTAGAGCGATCCATGCTTCCCTAGACTCAGGCCGGCCTTTGCAGCTGCCAGACATTGGGATAAATAGCACATAAGTAAACACACAAGAAACTCTGAACAGATAAACTATCATGTCAGTGCTCTGCAAAGGGCATCTTTTGTTCATTTATTCATTCGACAAACACTTATTGAGGTCCTACTATGCACAAGACACTGGGAGCTGTTGATTTGCCAAACCAGACGGGATGTTGTCTAGTAGCACAACACCGGGAGAGTCTGTGAACGTCATCCTCCAGAATGCCATCCTCAAAATTCCAATGACAGATACCGAATAGCACCTCCTCTTCAGAGCCTAACAGGGATCCAGCACCTAGGGATCAATTGTAATTTCTGCTGCACCTGATCATAATTCCTGGCTACCAGCTCAGAGTGGGGGCGGGCACACTCTCTGTGCCCGGTGTTCACACGTGTTCATGCACACATTTGCGATCCCCTCCAAATAAAATAGGTAACAAACCAGGGTGGCAGCAAAGACTAGCATAGAGGCATACGGGCTCCCTAAAAGCTCTAGTGGGCTTTGTGGTGTTCCCTGCAATTGCAAGCATCTTCACTTGTCCGAAGAGCTGAATGAAAAAGAAGAGGGGCCCCCGAGTCAGACAGAAGCAGAAAGATTTCAGGCACCATGGCAGTGGACTTCAGGTCTCCTCCCCACGCAGGCTGGGAGCATAGGGAGCAATTGGGCCCCAGCACCCAGCCCTTCCACGGTGAGTGAAGACAGCAGAATACGGAACATTTCATATGTTTTTCTTTAACAATTAACTTCTTTTATTTTCTTGCCATAACCACTGGCCTCTAGCTGAAAGCTCGAACATATCAGTGACAAAAAAAAAAAAAAAAAATTCTCAAACTATAAACAGAACCATACCTTTGAATCCAGTTGTCTAAACCGATGCCTCATTCTGCAAGGAAGTTAAAAAAAAAGAAGAAGAAGAAGAAAGTGAGCAAGAGAAAAAGAGACTGAGAGAGGGTTGTCAGGCTCCCTTTTCCAGTCTTTTCAAGTACAGAATTCAGGTCATTTTCGCTTTCAGCTAAATCAAGAATCAGCGTGTTTGCTTTTCTGATTTTCTTCCTAATGCCCAAAGGAAGCAGAATTCCTCTCTAATACCAATTAGAAGGAGATCACATAAACACCACCGCTGCTAGTAGG